GAAATAGGAGCACTATTTATCAATCTGTAATAAAAGACGTGAGGAAATTCTGTCTTTTTTTAAGACAAAAATTTTTGAGGCGAAACACCCAAAAAGAAGTTTGTAAAAAAACAAAACTATTGTATTGAATAAAATATGTTTCAAGTTATGTTATAGGCTTCAATACAGACACACTTCTATCTATCATTACGCCGGACATCACAACTTCCCTGTTCCATTAGCAGTTCAGTTCAGTTCAATCACAAACTTACCGGAGTTTTTCAAATAAACTCCTTAACGAGTACCCCACCAGTGAAATATTTAATAATTTGCTAATTATCGCTATCGATAATCGACTGCAGTCACAAGAATGCTGAAATTCAATACCGTTGAGAAATTGATTGGAATTCCTGGTTCAACAATTCGCAAACCATACATAATTTAGCAGGGAATGAAAAATTAAACCTGAGAGGGTCGTTAAATGGCTGCAAATTAACCAAAAACTTTCGGGAGTCTTGTTAATTGGCCCGGATAACTAAAAACGGATGTTTAGACCCTTAAAATTTGACACCTGCCTGCTTAAACGGCGCCAACACTCATCAATTTTTTCCGGAATATACAGAGCTGCCTTTAAAAAACCTACCCCAAGTCCAACGTTACCAACAAACTCTTCCAAGCTGGACTTTGAACTATTATAGTTTAAGAGCAGTGAGTTATCTATGTAAGTGCAATCGATTATCCCAAAGAGGTTTCGGTGTTATCTCGGACATAGCGAATTCCTACAAAAGTTTCAGATTTCAATGGCAAAATCGTCAGAATGTGCCATTCCACGGTGATTTATTGCATTTTGGAATGCTGGCGCCAGTACGGTCAAATGCGTACGTCAAATCCGGCTAGTTTGACGCCTTTTAACATTCTTCAGACTCCCGCGATGACAGAGTGATAAATTGCCTCAAAGTCAGAACGGATATGGAACGAATACGTGAATCTCATTGAACCGATCAACCTTCAAAAAGGCAAAAAATTTCCAAATTTTTATTTAACGTTATCGTTTACAGACGCTAAAAGCGCACGTTAAATCAGGGTGGTCCCGGCTGTGCTCTCATTTAAACAGTGTGGGATTGGCCGTACGGTAAATCACGTGGACGTGAACCAGATTTTCTCCGTTTGTTTTTTTGTAGGTGTCATTTCGGCCATTTATTAACGCCCTTTGCAATTAATTTAGATTTTTTTATTTCTGTTCACCTATCTACTACGGCCATTGGATTAATTATCTTTTAGTGGGCTCTTGGCTGATTATCACCAGCTGTGTGCCTACAGCACAGTATCTCACGGAAGTTGACAGTGCAACTGGATTCTCTGGCATGGACGATCCCGATGGCCATAAAGCCTGTCGGAAGGTCAATTCGCCAGTGGCATTTCATTATAAAAATCATCTCAAAAAAATTGAAATTGAACATTTATGTAAAACAGGACGTGTAGTCTCGTGTCGAGCAAAATCGGAGTCGACAGTCACTGTTTTAAAATGATTAACGACTATTCGACACGAATGGGCTCCGCTCGTATACAGGGCACGATATGTCTGAGCGCCAGAACTGAGCGATTTTAGAACAAATTCAAAGTAAACTTATTTCCTAGTTTTTCAGTCAAATCAGCCATTTCGCTAGTCCAAATGTTGCATTTTCTACCTCTTTCTACAACCAGCCAACATACCAGACATCAACAGGCCACAGCCAATCATATGAAGAACCAGCAGGAAGAAAATAGAAGACAAGCACAAAGTCACGTACTAAACTGCAATGTTTAGCCCTAGATACTCCCCCAATCTGGTCTTAAATCTGATCGTTAAAGGTCACATTCGAGCGCGCCCAATTAAACCAACACATCAAACAATCCCATCTATGAACAACCCAACAATTTGGTACTATTAAACCATTAGATATTCCCGATTCCTGATAAGCGGGCAAGACATTATGTAAACAAAATGTACACCATTACACGACTTATCTGCCGGTAAAAAGCTGCATAAAAGCTATCATTACCGCCGAGTGAAAATGATCGTGGTTGCAGTCGTAGAAAAATCCCATTTGCGAATGCAGCCTACCGTTTGATATTCCTGCCGATTTGCATACAATATCTCAGAAACTGTTTTATGGCCTGATATCGAGAGGTTTGATGGACTCGTCTCGGTAATGGGACTAAGAATTGCAAGCAAAGTGCCTACTTAATAGCTGATCGTATGCCGGATTTTACATGCGATAATCTGCTTAAAAATTAGAAAATCTGAATCATCTAGAACCGTTGATGCATTTCAACATGAACCTGCCTAATAACGGGTCCCACCAGTGGGTCCCCAAAACCCCAATGGCCGCAACCACTACCGATCCATTTCCCACAGCAGAATGGTGCATTAGTGTCAGAAAAAGTTACACATGTAATAATTAATAATGCGTATTTCTTCAACACTTAGAAACATGCCCATACGTCTTGCTCATCTAATGACGGCTGTAACCGAAGATGGAACACATGTACTTAATTAGGCATATCCTAGAACCTTTTAGTGTCGTTTTTAATTTCCATTCGTACCGTTTAAGGGTGGGTTGGCTGCCGTTGCTGTTTATTCTTTGC